AAATGCATATGTATGGACCCAAAATGAGAAAGGAGAATGGGTACCAGTTCTTGTATTATTGAGAATTGATTTTGCTGCAACTGACATTAAATGGTCACCAAATGAAACTAAATTTGCATGTGCTTCAGGAAATAAACTTGTTGCTATTTGTAGATTTAATGAAGAATCAAATTGGTGGGCTTCAGATCATGTTAAAAAATTCAAGTCAACTGTTACTAAAGTAGCATGGTCTCCAGATTCACTTACTGTAGCAGCTGCATCAACTGATTTTAAGGCAAGAATTTTTAATGCTTTTAATAAAACAATAGATCCAAAAGGTTCATACTCTCCATTTTCAGAACAAGAACTTTCATCTCCAAAATGCAAATTAGGTACTTTCTTATTTGAAACTGAAGTTAGTGGATGGGTTCATTCTATTGCTTATACACCATCTGGAACAACTGTTGTTTTTGTTTCTCATGATTCTTCTATTTCATTCATTGAAGCTAATGATGGAAAACCAACTGTTCAAACTATCAAATGTAAAACATTACCATTCTTAGATGTTCTTTGCATTACTGACAATAAAGTTGTTGCTGTTGGACATCATTTCAATCCATGTTTATTTGAACGTGGTGCTGATGGATGGAAGTTTGTAAAAGAACTTGATCAGAAACAAGCACCTAAATCTACTGGAACTATGTCTGCTATGGACCATTTCAAATCTCTTTCATCTAGAGGAACTGCTACAGTTAAGAGTGCTGTAGAAGAAATTACTACTACTCATAAGAACACTGTTACCTGTATTAGACCAATGAAATATGATGATTCATGGAATGTTCTTGAATTTTCAACTTCAGGTATGGATGGTAATATAGCCATTTGGAAAGCTTAAATTCATTTGGATCATTTTTCTCTAATTTGTTTTATTAAAAAGAAGTCATTAAAAAACAGTAATAAAAAAGTGAATTTAATAAAGTACTATAATTAAGAAAGTAGTAAATATGATAAAAGTAAACAAGATTAATAAAAATGGCAAATATGTAAACAATATAGCTTTACCATTAACGTATTTAGCTTCTGTAAATAATAACCAAAGAATAGACAACGTTCCCCAAGTTGTTTTATTTTTGTAAGCAATTTTATTTAATACATCAGCAACATGTTCATGACAGTTTTGAGTAATTAAATTATGTGTTAATTTACTATATTTTATATTAACTTCTTCAATAGCATTTATATATTCATCATTACTAACCCCTATATCTAATTTAACATATTTCTTTATTGAACCAAAACAAGTAGTTTGTCGTCTTCTCTATTTGTTGTGAGTAAAATAAATGAAATAGATAAAAATAACAAACTCCAATAGAATATGATCCTTGGAAATCATAAATCCATCCATTTGGATCTGAAATAGCTGTATGTCCTAAACAAGGAACTAACCATCTATATATTAAAAATCAAAATTCTTTTATTGAAAAAAAATAAATACAAACGATAAAATAGGAATTGTTGACCAGCATATACATAAAGGAAAATATTTGGATTCTGTATTTACTTTTGTTGGAACAAAAGGAGTGTCATCATTCATAATAATAGTTTGATCAATTGTATCGTTAACAATATCCATATTTATTATTTACTAGTTCTATTAAAAGAAAGATAAACGTTTTTGAATTAATAAAATATAAAAAATATGAAACAAAAATAACAATAAATAAAAAATTATTATTTTTATAAATTTTGTTATTAAATATTTTAATTTTTATTACTTTTTTCAATACGGAATAATCTTATTTCATCATTGTTTCAAAATTAGAATACATTTTTGTGATCAAATTTGTGAATAATTTTGTTTTATTATATAACATTAATTCTTTTAAATGTTTTTGGAGAATGTACCTTTGTTCAATTAAATAATTCTTAAAATAGAATTTTGGTCCAAGTTAAATTTAGCATTTTTCCGGTGTTTTTAATTTAAAGAAGTCCTGACTTCTGAACCATTATTCAAATTACTAAATAATTCTAATTTTTTTAGAAGATTCTAATAATAAAATTTCAGAAATTTAGAAACTTTTGCTTCTGAACACAAATCGAACAAAAGTTTTTTTCATTTTTTTAATATTCAATATTAAAATAAATTAATAAAAACTATTTAATAGAAAGTGGACATTTTTTTCAACAGAAGCAAAAAACAGGAAAAAAAAACGAAGGTTTATGAGATCGTTTTTTTAATGAAAAAAAATACATTCGTTGTTGTCTGTTAACTAAGTAAAAAGGAGAAAACTGGTTAAGTCAAAAATAATAAAATTAAAAAAAAACATTTATAGGTATTTATAGAAAAAGAAATTAATAAATACAAGAGATTATACAGAATTAAGAAAATATGGGTTAATTTTTAAAAATATAAACAACTTCCTAATAAAAATAATTATTTGATGAAGAACTATGAATTTCGAATGGAAGTGTTGATTATATTTGGTTCATGGTTTCGAATTTATTAAGATTTTATATTCGGTATAACTCTGAAGTCATGTATGAAAACCCCCAGTTTTCATCTTAAAATTAATTGTCATTTTAATATATTATGGCTAAGGCTAGTACTACTTCAACCAAACTTCAATCAATTAATAGAAATCTTTCTGTTGATAGAGAAAGACTTTCTAATGCTTGTGTAATTGGGTTATATGTTGTTCTTGGTAATTCCGTTACAGTTAAACTTCCATCAAAGAAATCAAAAAATACACTTGCACATCTTTCTATTGCCAATGCTTTTATTAATGGAAAAGATGTTAATGAGCTTGTTCAAGAACAATATGCTTTTCCAAGTGTTTTAGATAAAAATAAAAGAAGAGATAAAGAAGTTGCTATTTTTAATGCTATTTCTAAAGAAGTAGCAAGGATTCATTTTAAACTTGCTAAGAGAACAGCTGCAATTAAAACTCTTAAGTTAAAGATATATAAAGAAATAGGTCCATTTAATAAAAACGGTGTTACTTTATTTGGGAATGAAGTTACTTCAAGTTTAATGAAAAGAAATCCTTGTGGAAGATGTTCTCAAAGAGCTTATGTAGAGTTAAAAGGATATGATGAAGAAATAGTAAATATTTTCCATTCTATCTGTGATAAAAAAGAAAATGTTACTGATAACTATATCTCAGATTATCCTGAATTATTTAGAACTGATTTAAAACCAGAAATGGAATTTGATAAAAGAAGTGATGAAGTTGTGAGAAATACTCCAACTTTTGAAAATTCATGTGTTAGAGGTGTGTTTAAACTTTCCAATGAAAACTTTTATTCAACTGAAACAGCTAACTGGTTCACTATTGAATAACTTTTAAATTCCTTTTCATGTACATTGACTATTCTGTTAAATTATTATTATTATCTTTTCTTTTCAAAAATAATATCCACTCTTTGTATCTTTTTTTCTTTAAATTTATTTGTAAATTTTATAAAATTACTTTTTCTTAATGTTATTTTCTTAAATATGGTTTAATATTTTTAGAAATGGAAGAAATAATAACAGATAATTGTTATTAATTGTTTTATTTTTTTTTTGTTTAATAAAACAAAAAAATAAACATATTATATTATTTATTTGTTTCTGAAAATATTATAAAAAGTATTTAAAAAAAAAAAATCAATGAAATTCCATTGAACAAACAACGAAAAATAGAAAAAAGGGATATTACCTTCGATTAAATAAGAAAAGAAAAATTAAAGAAAATACTATAATTAATATAAAATTATATAATCAAGGTTTTTATTCAAGAAAAAATGATGATGAATTTTCTTGAAAAGAAATATTTAATGAGATTAATTATAAACTAAGGTTACCAATGGTGAAAATCATTTTTAATTCACAGCATTATTCTTTACCTATTTCTCTTAATAAAACAGTTAGAGAAATGAAAGTAGAGATAGAAAAACTTTGTAAGATTAAACCTTGTCAACAAAGAATTTGGTATTATACAAAAGAAAATAAAAAAGTTATTCTTCTTGTTGATAAAACATTAACTGAATGTGGAGTGAATGAAGAAACAGAATTAGAAATGAAAGACCTTGGAAGACAACTTCCATATAGATTTGTTTATCTTTTAGAATATATTGGACCATTGGTATTGTATTTTATTCCATTTTTTATATTAAAAGCCTTAAATAGAATAATTCTCTACCAACAATATATGGCATTATTTTTATGGGTAATTCATTACTTAAAAAGAATTTTTGAAACTATTTATGTTCATGAATTCGGTGACAACACAATGCCTTATAATAACGTTTTTAAGAATTGTACATATTATTGGGGTTTTGCTTTAGCTGTTTCTATCAATGTAAACCTTTTCTCAAGACAGGTCCCAGATATGTTTGTTTCTATTTGTGCTTGTGCTATGATCATTTCAATTATTTCAAATAGTTATTGCCATCTTCTTTTAAAATGGTTAAGACCACCAGGTACTCAAATAAGAGCTATTCCAAAAGGTTTCTTATTTGAGTACGTTTCTTGTCCTCATTATTTCTGTGAAATTATGACATGGATATTCTTTAACGCTTTGACTGGTTTTCCATTTTTTGGAGTCTTGTTCTCTTTGTGTGGTATTTACCAAATGAGGGAATGGGCTCTTCAAAAACATCAAAGATATTATAGAGAATTCCCTGATTATCCAAAGAATCGAACAGTATTAATTCCTTTCTTATATTAATTTAAATTGTTGGGATGTATTTCTTTATTAACTCTTTTTGTTGTATTTTCTCATAGTTATAATAAATTACAAAAACAACTTAAACAACCCCTCAAATCAATCTAATTATTTAAAAAAAAAACTAAAAAGATAAATACTAGAATGAACATTACATTTTAAAATGAGAATATTCATCATTAAATTTACTTATTATGTGTTTACCTCAAAACTCTTTTTAGTGGTTCTAAAATGGTAGGTGATTATTTTATGATTTGATAAACGAATAAAAATTGAAAAAAAAAATGTTTAATATTTTCATCTTTTAAGAGTACATTTTATATTACTAATACTAGGGTGTTTGAAACAAATTACAGATTAAGTAAATTATAAGAATAAAACATCTAACTAACTAATACTTGAATTTCATTATTTATAAATAAAATATAATCTTTTTAATTATGTTTGATATATTGATATAAATAATTATTGATAGTATTTAAATTATTATAGACATTAAAATTATTGTTTTAAGATACTTATTCTAATGTCATTTAATAAAACAAGATAGTATTATAGTTAAACAGAAAAATAAAGATATAAAATAAATTAATCACTGAACAATGAATCTTATTTATAAAAAAAAGTTATTTGGTTATATTTAATATTACACTAGAACACCCTTTATATGATGCAACATTTTTCATTTTTACATTATGAAGATGACCGCTTATCCCTCTAAAATATAGGATATCAGAAAGTGTAATATTTTGAATTGAACTAGTTTCAATATATAATTCTTCTTTGTTAGTTCCATTAAGAATTAAATCACCAATACAAGAAGTCTTAATTCTAATTTTTTTAGAATTTAATGAAGATAAATTAACAACACTTGTCTTATTGATGATTCCTTGAATTTCAAAAGAAAGATTAGTAATTTTAGTAATTCCAAAACACTCAAAAAAGGTAGTGTCATTTTGTAATTTTAATTTTTGTTTAGAATGAGACAAGTCAATTTTAATAATTTGTAATAAAGGTGTGACTATAAGTGAATCTTTTATACTATCATATTTAAATTTCAAGTCAAAGATTTCTGTTGATGTTTGTACAACTGAAAGCGATTCCATTAAATCCATATTAATATAGATTTTTCCAGTAAGATTACCACATAAATCTAATTTTTTTAAATGAATAGAACTAATATCAAATTTATTTGAAGAAACACAACAAAGTTGTTCTAAAAGAGGAGGAAACAATATTTGGTAATGTAGATTTATTAATGATATATATTTTATAAGAGTTTTGAAAAATCAAATA